GCAATGATCAACTTCTTACCCCCCTCGATGCCCCAGTAGATAAAGTCGTTGATCCTTTCTTCTTTGTTTAATTCCTACTTGTTGACATTCGTCGGAACGTCTGTGTAGGTTCGGCGAAGCCACCATCTATTTTGCCTACAAGGCAGGAGTTACTTATCCGGCCCCTTCTTTAGATTGGGCAGACGTCTCGTAGAGGCTTAGGCAGTAGTGGGAGTGCTGCCTCAACTAGTGCCGCGGTACTCGCCTCTACTAGTCTTTCCGCTAGGGTCGGCGGGGGAAGCCGTTCAATCGAGATACATCCTTGGACAGGCTCGGAGGTGCTTCGTCTTCATCAGTCTTCCCTGATGAGGAACCGGTCTTCCAAGTTACGAACGTTATTGAGCCCAGTTTGAGCGCTACAACCTTTGAGGACCATTATCTCGCCAATCAGGGATTAACGCTGGCGAGGAAAGACGCTTTCGATCCGGGTGGAGGAGGATAGAAAGTTGGGGACGCAGCACTGGTCGAGGGCGAGGCGTTTGGGGGTCTTCCCCCTGATAACCCTCGGTTAGGGACTTCTTTCCCTCGGTAAGAAAAGGACGTTACACGGTTTTGCTTCAATGTTCCCAATAAAGTCCTTCCTTTGAACCTTTACCGGCATATGGATGTTGGGTGTGTTACCCTAAACTCGGAGTTTGTAATTATGTAAAAACAAATTTATATTCAATTTAGTTTTATTGAATTCATAGAAATCCATTGGCCAAATCCAATAAACTAAACATCTAAGATTATTATCATGTAATCGGGACAATATCTATACTGGATATATATTTGATATACTTTCGATATATAAGTGGATAATGTCTCAGGAATAACCTAAAGGGTTTATGGTAAATGGATAAGGCTGGCTACCTTATCCTGACAAAAATATGGATACGACCCACTTTGTAAATATTACAGCGACCTGATCCAGGTCGTTCGTGTGGAGACATGCGAGTGAGGGTATCATACACAATAAGTTTGTATAAGACCGGACTGTAAAATAACCAATCTTTAGATGTAACACCGTTGACTAACAAATTGCTATTTCATAGGATGACCATGTTGTTGGGTGTATTGCCCTAAACTCGTAGTTTGTATTTTGTAAAAACAAATGTCTATTTAATAAAGTTTCATTCAATAAATTTGTTGTTGAATCATAGCATTGCATTGTCCAAAATCCAATAAACTAAACATCCAAGATTATTTATGATGTAATCGGGACAATATATATACTGGATATATAGTTGATATATGGGGTATATATTTGATATACCCCTGATACATGAATGAATAATGTCCCGTGAATAACCTAAAGGGTCTATAGTACATGGATAAGGCTGGGTACCTTATCCTGGCAACACTATGGATACGACCCACTCTGTAAAGGTTACAGACGACTCGATCCAGGTTGTTCGTGTGGATACATGCGAGTGGGGGTATCCTATACAATGAGTTTGTATAAGACCAGACCATGAAATAGACAATTTTTAGATGTAACACCGTTAACTAATAGGTTGTTATTTCTTAGGATGACCAGGCAACTCATTCTCAATCTTGAGTGAGTTATGGACTCCTGTCCGTGAGGGCTCGTCCTTTGATCTGTATGGGTGAGAGTGGCCCGAGTCGCCGACTCAACATTCCAACCATTTTGGGGACGAGACCGAGTGGGGAGCTGGGAACATAACTTCACAAGATGGAATTCACTCCTTCCCGACTTTAGGGGAGTAGATGACTGTTCCCTTAAATGCTGACTCCGGGACTTGAACAAGGGGCCCCACCCTCTCATTGGCCGAGAGGGACTTCCGGTTATTGGTTGGACCATAACCGGGTTGTTCATTAGAGGAGCAGTG